ATGGGGGAACTATGGCCCCTTCATGACTTGCGGATTTCAACTCCCAGAATTCCTGAGCCAGCATGGGGGAACTATGGACCCTTCATGACTCGTGGACTTCAACTCCCAGAATTCCTGAGCCAGCATGGGAGAAATATGGCCCCTTCATGACTCGTGGACTTCAACTCCCAGAATTCCTGAGCCAGCGTGCCTGGCTGAGGAATTCTGGGAATTGAAGTCCACAAGTCATAAAAGGGCCAAGTTTGAAGACCCCTGCACTGAGACATCACTTGGAGAACATGGCAGCTGGATGCTTGCCAGGCCTCCAGAGAGCTTGAAAATGTCAAACTGCGTTATTTGCACAACAGCCCTGCGGTCTACAGGTGCTCCTCGGCTTACGACCACAATTGAACCCAACATTTCTGTCGCTAAGTGAAACATTGGTTAAGTGACCCTTTGACCCATTTTACGACCTTTCTTGCTACCGTTGGCTGAGTGAATCACTGCCGTTGTTAATTGAGTCACACGGTTGTTAAGCGAATCTGACTTTCCCCTTGACTTTGCTTGTCAGAAAGTCACAAAAGGGGGGGTCACATGACCCCGGGACACCGCGACGGTCGTAAATACGAGTCGGCTGCCAAGCGTCTGAATTTTGATCGTGTAAACGTGGGGACGATGCAGCGGTCGTAAGCCTGAAAAACGGTCCTTTTTTCAGTGCCGTTGTAACTTTGAACAGTCACTAAATGAACTGTTGTAAGTCGAGGACTACCTGTAGGGGATACTCTGGCTCGGGATGCTTTGAGCCTTCCCGCCAAAGGAGCAGCTTCTGAGGAAAAAACATGCCGTTTTTTAGCTCAACTCTGAAGTGAGCCAACAATCGCCTTTGCCTTTTCGGCAGTGGCATCACGCAAGTGGCCCCGGAGCAGCGTGTTGCGGTTGCCGTTTGTTTGGTGCGCTTGCTGGAGAGAGAAGACGGGAAGGGTAGGGAGGGCCAAGGCTGCAGCCGGCCTCACTTGCGGGGGGGATCCGATTCCAGAGCAGCTGAAGAACAGGTGGCTGTCCGGACAGGCCGTCTCCTCACCTGGATCGGGTTTCTCCGGCAATTTCTGGATGTGAGAAGAGACGGCAAAGAGTCCCCGGAGCCATGAAGGCTAAAGGAGAAAGAGTTCGGCTTCGGTCTTTTCCCAACCGGCCTTAACGTCTGCAACCCCCCTGCCTTTGGCAGGTTTTCTCCCTCCCTCCCCCCTTCCTTCTTTCTTTTCTTCCTCCCTCTCTCCTTCCTTCCTTCTTTCTCTCTCTCTTTTCCCTTCTGTCTATCCTTCCTTCCCTCCTCCATCTCTCCCTTCTTTCTCTCTTTCCTTCCTCCCTCCCTCCCTCCCTCCCTCTCTTCCTTCTTTCTCCACCCTTCCTCTCTTCCTTCCTCCCTCCCTCTCTTCCTCCCTCCTTTCTTTCCTCCCTCCTTTCCTTGCTTCCTTGCTTTCTTTCTTCCTTCCTTCCTTCCTTCCTCCCTCTCTCTCTCTTCTTTCTCTCTCCTTCCTCCTTCCTTTCTGTCTCTCCTTCCTTCCTTCTTCCCTCCCTCCTCTCCTTTCTTCCTTCCTCCCTCTCTCCCTTCTTTCTCCCCCCTTCCTCCCTCCTCTCCTTCCTCCCTCCCTCCTTTCCTTCCTTGCTTCCTTCCTTCCTCCTTTTCTCCTCTTTCTTTCTCTCTCTCTCTCCTTCCTTCCTCCCTCCCTCCCTTCTCTCCTTCCTTCCTTCCTTCCTCCCTGTCTCCCATCTTTCTCTCTCCACTCTTCCTTCCTCCCTCCCTCCTTTCCTTCCTTCCTCCCTCTCTCCCTTCTTTCTCTCTCCACCCTCCCTCCCTCTCTCCTGTATCCTTTTCACTGAGAATCGGACATGCAATCTGATTTATCCCAAAGCTGCTTTTTCAAGAGGCAACTGGACTTGTTTTTCTTTGAAGACGTTTCGCTTCTCCTCCAAGAAGCTTCTTCCGCTCTGACCGGAGGGCGGGGAATGGTGTTCAACAGTGAAGGGACACAGGGCAGAAAACGTCCTGCAGAAAGCACAGCTCCACAACACACACAGTCCTTTCAGCAGGTCCAAGGAGGCTCCACACCCATTTGCACCACTCAGGTGACCCTGAGGACACAGGTAAACCTCCAAGTGGCCTCAACGACTCTCTAAAAGAAGGCAAATGACCAGCTTTCTGCAAGGAGTATAAATCCTTCCATTCCCCACCATCCGGTCAGAACGGAAGACGCTTCTGGGATGAGAAGCGAAACGTCTTCAAAGAAAAAAAACCAAAAAAGTCTAGCTGACTCCTGAAAAAACACCTTTGGGACAACCTGGATGAAGGAGAATCTCCATGGACCTGCAATCTGATTCCAGTCAGTCTGAATGGCTGCAATGGACAGAGCCCCCCCCCCGCCACCCTACATTGTGCGCCCATTACACTAGGACGGAGGGGTAGGCAACCTTGGCTCTCTTCATGACTCGTGGACTTCAACTCCCAGAATTCCTGAGCCAGCATGGCTCAGCTTGGAAACCTCTCCATTTCTCCTCAGCATGGCTGGCTCAGGAATTCTGGGAGNCTACACTTCAGGACCGGAACTGCACTGTGCAATTAGAAGCTGGTATCTCCTATTGCAGGGGTAGGCAACCTTGGCCCTTTTATGACTCGTGGACTTCAACTCCCAGAATTCCTGAGCCAGCCATGCTGAGGGGAAAGGGAGAGGTTTCCAAGCTGAGCCATGCTGGCTCAGGAATTCTGGGAGTTGAAGTCCACGAGTCTTAAAGCTGCCAAGGTTGAGGACCCCTGATATAGGGCAGGGATGGGGAATCATGGCCCTTTTATGACTCGTGGACTTCAACTCCCAGAATTCCTGAGCCAGCATGGCTCAGCTTGGAAACCTCTCCCTTTCCCCTCAGCATGGCTGGCTCAGGAATTCTGGGAGTTGAAGTCCACGAGTCATAAAAGGGCCAAGGTTGCCTACCCCTGCAATAGGAGATACCAGCTTCTAATTGCACAGTGCAGTTCCGGTCCTGAAGTGTAGTGGGTGGAGCAAGGCGGAAGAGGCTTAAATTGCCCTCTTCACTTGAGAGGCATGTGTCGGTCTAGAGACACTGTGGAGTCGGAATGTTACATGAGCAGTTTGGGAGCCTGTCCTGGATCTGAACCCGGAGCGCTGGAATGCAGAGGGGGGGCCGACAATCAGAGCACGAAACAGCTGAGTTTGAAAAGCGAGATGCTGGCTTGCAATACACCCAGGCTTTGCAAAAATGGTCTATACAACAGGGGTCTTCAAACTTAATAATAATAATAATAATAATAATAATAATAATAATAATAATAATAATAATAATAATAATAATAGTAAAGTTGGAAGGGACCTTGAAGGTCATCTAGTCCAACCCCCTGCTCAGGCAGGAAACCCTATACCATTTCGGACAAATGGCTGTCCAGTCTCTTCTTAAAAACTTCCAGTGTTGGCCACTTTAAGACTTGTGGACTTCAACTCCCTCAGGGCTGGCTGAGGAATTCTGGGAGTTGAAGTCCACAAGTCTTCAAGTGGCCAAGTTTGAAGACCCCTGCTATACGGCTACTCCTTGTGACCGTTTAGTAACCGTTCGAAGTTACAACGGCACTGAAAAAAGCGACATGACCGTTGTTCACAGTTACGACCATCGCAGCATCCCCATGGTCACATGATCAAAATTCAGACGCTTGGCAAGTGACTCGTATTTATGACAGTTGCAGCGTCCCGGGGGGCCACGTGATCCTCTTTTGCGACCGTCTGACAAGCAAAGTCAATGGGGAAGCCGGATTCACTTTAACAACCAGGTTACTAACTTATCAGCTGCAGTGATTCACTTAACGCTGGCAAGAAAGGTTGTAAAATGGGGCAAAACTCACTTAACAAATGTCTTGCTTAGCAACAGGAATTTTGGGCTCAATTGAGGTTGTAAGTCGAGGACTACCTGTACAGTGGACCAGTGTTTCTCAATCTTAGCAACTTTAAGATATTTGGACTTCAATTCCCAGAATTCCCCAGCCAGCATGCTTTAAGATGGCTGGACTTCAACTCCCAGAATTCCCCAGCCAGCATGCTTTAAGATGGGTGGGCAACTCCCAGAATTCCCCAGCCAGCATGCTTTACGATGGGCAGACTTCAATTCCCAGAATTGCCCAGCCAGCCTCCTTTAAGATGGGGAGACTTCAATTCCCAGAATTCCCCAGCCAACATATTTGAACATAGGTGGACTTCCACTCCCAGAATTCCCCAGCCTAGATCTAAGGAGAAATTTCCTGACAGTTTGAACAATTAATCAGTGGAACAACCTGCCTCCAGAAGCGGTGAACTTGCCAACACTGGAAATTTTTAAGAAGAGACTGGACAGCCATTTGTCTGAAATGGTGTAGGGTTTTCTGCCTGAGCAGGGGGTTGGACTAGATGACCTCCAAGGTCCCTTCCAACCTCATGATGATGATGATGAAGATGATGATGATGATGAAGATGATGATGTGGTTACTCCTCTTTCCTTCTTAACCCTCTCCTATCTCGGTTTCTTTCTCGTTTTGTCCGATCGCAGGTATCCCTACTCTTATCGTCCTGGACACTAAGGGAGACGTGATCACCCGACAAGGCCGAGTCGAGGTCCTGAATGACATTGAATGCCAGGAGTTCCCCTGGCACCCTAAGCCAGTCTTAGAGCTGACCGATTCCAACGCTGTCCAGCTGAACGAGGGTCCTTGTCTCGTCCTTTTTGTAGGTATGCAAACCACCCCACCCCGCTCTGAATGCCGACCCCCCCCTCACCTCCCCCCCATGAAATTGGGTTTTGCTGTCATTTGTTTCTCTTTGCCAACAAACGAGGAGGGAGCAAAAATCAGATGGAAGGGTAGTTTGCTGCAAAAGTGCTTAGGTCTGATGAAGTTTCCAGTCCTCATGATTGCAAAGAGATACTTCCTGAGGACAGTTTCTTAGTGGAAGTGTGGTCTTCTGTAAAAGTACTTAACGTTTGGCGAAGCTTCTAGTCCTCAATGGAAAAAAGGATATTTATGGGGACAACTTCTTAGTGGAAGTGTGGTCTTCTGTAAAAGTATTTAAGTTTGGTGAAGTTTCTAGTCCTCCTTAATGCAAAAAAGATACTTCTGGGGACAATTTCTTAGTGGAAGTGTAGTCTTCTGTAAAAATACTTAACGTTTGGTGAAGTTTCTAGTCCTCAATGCAAAAAAAGATACTTCTGGGGACAATTTCTTAGTGGAAGTGTAGTCTTCTGTAAAAATACTTAACGTTTGGTGAAGTTTCTAGTCCTCCTCAATGCAAAAAAAAGATACTAATGGGGACAAGATACTTCTGGAGGCAAAAAGATATTTCTGGGGCTACTTCTTAGTGGAAGTGTAGTCTTCTGTAAAAGTACTTAAGTTTGGCGAAGTTTCTAGTCCTTGTGATTGCAAAGAGCTACTTGTGGGGACAATTTTCCGGTGGGAATGTAGTTTTCTGTAAAAATACTTGTCTGATGAAGCTTCTAGTCCTTGTAATTGCAAAGAAATATTTATTGGGACAACGTCCTGGTGGAAGTGCAGTTTTCTGTCAACGTACTTAAGTCTGATGAAGTTTCTAGTCCTGGTGATTGCAAAGAGATCCTTGTGGGGACAATTCCATGGTGGAAGTGTAATCTTCTGTAAAAGTTAGTTTGGTGAAGTTTTTAGTCCTCATTGCAAAAAAGACCCTTATGGGGACAACGTGGAAGTGTCGTTTTCTACAAAAGTACTTAAATCTGGTGAAGTTTCAGATCCTCATGATTGCAAAGAGATACTTGGGATAATTTACTGGTGGACGTGTAATTTTCTGTAAAAGTACTTAAGTCTAATGAAGTTTCTAGTCCTTGTGATTGCACAGAGATACTCATGGGGACAATTTCCTGGTGTATGTGCAGTTTTCTGTAAAAGGACTTAAGTCTGATGAAGCTTCTAGTCCCCATGATTGCAAAGTAGACATTTGTGGGGGTGGTTGATGTCAAAACCTGAGGAGGTTGAATTAGATTCCTGCTGTTTAAGAAACTGAGTTATTAAATCTGTACTCTTAACTCCTGAGAGTTCAGAAAACCACAATGTGCCCAACGAAAAAAAACATGTTTTATGTGAAGGCCTTATGGCAGATTATGGAATTTAGAACATTGCGCTGCAATTTATGGAATCCTAATATGGAACAAATTTGCAAATCTGGCTCCACTCCGGATCAACCAAACGCGCCCCAGGCCTGCATGATTTTGTGCTGTGCCCTCTTTTGCTTGCCTCCGGCCCACAGAGATAAAACATTTTCTTTAACAGTTCCTGTTTTAAAGTGGCGGTTTCCTTCATGTCCCAACGTATGTTTTTCCCTCCAGATGCTACTGGTCATCCTCAACGTACGATGATTTGTTTAGCGAGCGTTCAAAATTACAATGCACTGCAAAAAAAAACAAAAACAGATTAAAGCATGCTGGCTGGGGAATTCTGGGAGTGGAAGTCCACCCATCTTAAAACATGTTGGCTGGGGATTCTGGGAGTGGAAGTCCACCCATCTTAAAGCATGCTGGCTGGGGGATTCTGGGAGTGGAAGTCCACCCATCTTAAAGCATGCTGGCTGGGGAATTCTGGGAGTGGAAGTCCACCCATTTTAAATCTTGCTGGCTGGGGAATTCTGGGAGTGGAAGTCCACCCATCTTAAAGCATGCTGACTTGGGAATTCTGGGAGTTGAAGTCCACCCATCTTAAAGCATGCTGACTGGGGAATTCTGGGAGTGGAAGTCCACCATTCTTAAAGCAGGCTGACTTGGGAATTCTGGGAGTTGAAGTCCACCCCTCTTAAAGTAGGCTGGCTGGGGGATTCTGGGAGTTGAAGTCCACCCATCTTAAAACAATCTGGCAGGGGAATTCTGGGAGTGGAAGTCCACCCATCTCAAAAATTAATGACTTTGAGAGAAAAAAAAACAGCCCTGCTACGATAAGAATTCCTGCTTGTGGGAATGCAGGAATCGGCGCTAAGCAGAACTCCGTTCCTACCGACGAATGCTCAGATCCCTCCAGGAGGGAAAATGCAGCCGTGTTTTTCTCTCTCTGCATGCCACAATCCCATATGCTGCATTTGTTGCCGGGCCTGCCATCACAGGAACTCTCTTCGCGCCCCGCTGTGTCTGAATGGGGTATTTGTGAAACCCCTGGGGTGCACAGCCAGCTCCTTTCATCCGTCTTTAAACAGCACATGCGTTTAAGCCCCTCTCGTTCCTTTTTTTCCTTGGGTTTTATAAGGGAAAAACGCAGGGGGTGGCTGGTTAGAAGCGCAGTTGTGCCGTAATTAATTCTCTCTCTTTTTTGTGTGCTTTTAAGCCTTAATCGGCATGTTCCTTGGATTGCCTCCCCGAAACTAAGCTTGTTTGAGGGGGTCAGAACAAACCCGCCGTGCTCAAAGCTTGGAATCGGTTGTGGTTGTTAAAAGAGTGTGTGACTTTTGCACACGTGCTGGTGTGCGGACTCAGGTTGTCTGGTGTGTGATTTCCTTGGTGTTTTCCTACAGTTGGTTAAACGGAGAGATGTTGGGGGGGGGGGAGAATGACCTGGAAGTTGAGGATAGTCCTCAACTTACGACCACAATTGAGCCCCAAAATTTCTGTTGCTAAGCAAGACATTGGTTAAGTGAGTTTTGCCCCCATTTTATGACTTTTCTCGGCTGGGTTATTAAGGGAATCCCGGCAGTTGTTAAGCGAGTCGCACGGTTGTGAAGTCAATCCGGCTTCCCCCACTGACTTTCCTTGTCAGAAGGTCGCAAAAAGGGATCACACGACCCCGGGATAGAAATAGAAATAGAAATAGGAATAATAGAAATAATAGGAATAATAGAAATAAACATAACAGGGAATAGAATAGAGCAGAGCAGAGCAGAACAGAACAACAGAATAGAATAGAATAGAATAGAATAGAATAGAATAGAATAGAATAGAATAGAATAGAATAGAATAGAAAATATGGAATGGAATAGAATAGGAATGGAATAGAATAGAATAGAATAGAATAGAATAGAATCTTTAGACTAGACTAGAATAGAATCTTTATTTAGAATAGAATAGACTAGACTAGAATAGAATAGAAAATATGGAATGGAATAGAATAGGAATGGAATAGAATAGAATAGAATAGAACAGAAAATATGGAATAGGAATGGAATGGAATTGAATTGAATTGAATAGAAAATATGGAATAGGAATGGAATAGAATAGAATAGAATAGAATAGAAAATATGGAATGGAATAGAATAGGAATGGAATAGAATAGAGTAAACTAGACTAGACTAGACTAGACTAGACTAGACTAGAATAGAATAGAATAGAATAGAATAGAATAGAATAGAATAGAATAGAATCTTTATTTAGACTAGAACAGAACAGAACAGCAGAACAGAACAGAACAGAACAGAATAGAATAATAGAGCTGGGTGGGGCCTTTGAGGTCTTCTAGTCCAGCCCCCTGCTCAGGCAGGGACACTGCGACCCATCGTAAATATGAGTCAGTTGCTAAGCTTCTGAATTTTGAACACCTGACCATGGGGATGGGGCAACGATCGTTAAGTGTGAAAAACGGTGAAAAGGAGTCCCTTTTTTCAGTGCCATTGTAACTTTGAACGGTCACTAAATGGAACTGTTATAAGTCGAGGACTGCCTGTGATGTTTGCACCGGCTGATCCTCCGAGAGTTGGTGAGACGGAGAGCCACAGGGCGTGGGGTGTCATGGGTGTGCATGTATTTCCACATGGGTCGCACACACACAGGTTGATTTATATGACATTTACGACCTAAAGCAGATTCCAAGGTCTTACATGTCGCTCTCCCCAGTTCAGTCTCCCGCCTTCGTTTCACAGGCGAGATGGAAAGACTGGAGGGAGCATGAGGGGCTGAGAGAAAGATTTGGGGGTCTTGTTTCCCCCCTCCCCCCATTTTAAGCCCGACACTTTTGAGGGCCTGCAATTCCAGTCCTTGGGCAATTTTGCTTTTTCTGGGTTCTCATTATTTTGTGTATTATTTAGTAGCAACCCAGTGGGATGCGTTCAGAACACAAATAGAAATTTGTAAAATGGAAGCTATTTGGTCAATGGAGCTGTCAGTTGCTTCGCGGGTCGGAGGGAGGGAGGGACAGAGAGAGGAAGGAAGGAAGGAAGGAAGGAAGGAAGGAAGGAAGGAAGGAAGGAAGGAGAAGAGGGAGGGAGGGAAGGACGGAAGAGGGAGGGAGCAAGCGAGAAAGAGAAGGGAAGGAAAAGAAAGGAAAGAGAAAGAGAAAGAAGGAAATGGGAAGAAAAGAAGGAGCAAAGGGAAAGGAGGAGAAAAGAGGGAGGGAGGGAAGAAGGAAGAATGGAGAAAGGAAGAAAAGGAAAGGAGAAAGAAGGAAAGAAAGAAGCTAAGGAAGGCAGGAAGGAGGAGAAGAGGGAAGGAAGGAAAGGAGAGGGAAGGAAGGAAGGAAGGTAAAAGAAAGGAAGGGAGAGAGAGATGGAGGAGGAAAGAAAGGAAGGCAAAGGAGAGAGGAAGGAAAAAGGAAATGGGAAATGAGAATAGGAAGGAGAGAAAAAGAAGGCCGGCAGGAAGAAGACAAAAGGAAAAGCGTGAAAGAAAGCAAAGGCAGGGGGGAAAAAAAAGAACAAGGAATACAAGGTGGGAAAAGTACGAGAGAAAGAGAGAGAAAGAAGGGAAGGGAAAGGGAAAAAATGGAGAACGGCAAAGAGGGAGGAAGGAAGGA